CCTTTATGTAGTCAATAAAGCACAGATAAATATCTTTCTGGTATTTTGTTTTTAGCCAAGATCCATCTGATGTTAGTGTGATATCCATTGTTCTACATCTTCTTTTGAATCTGGCTTGAGTTATTGGCATATCCCTGTCAATGTATTGTTGCAACTGTGTTTTTTTTTTTGGCCTCTGGCAAATTTTATGCTGAAAATGTTCTATTTGTCTAACTTTCAGATAGAGAATCCTTTTGCAGCTTCTTCTTTGACAAAAATCTGGGGAGGATGAAGGAAGAAATAGAATATAAGCATTCACTTACATTTCTATTTCTCAGTTAGACTTTCATATGACTGTAAAAACTTTACACCAGAGAATCCCAAATCAATGTAGGCATTAGATCATTTTAAGCATTTTGCATATACTCAATGAAGTAATATCACAATATCTATGAACTAGCAACTGAGGCTTTAACTCCTGTTTCAGGAATATGGACCTTTTACTCATTTACCAAGTTATTAAATCAGAACTTAATAGAAATATTTCAGCAGAGTGATCTGCTGAAATATCAAACCTGATTGTGAAACATTTGTGAAACATTGCTAAATGACTTGCAGATCATACACATCAGTTTTAAGAGCAAACTGATGCTACTTTTTTTTTTTCTTTCTGGTTTTGTTTTCTTTCTTTTTTCTCTTTGTTTGCTAATTGTTGTTTCATGACACAAGAACTTATAGATCACTCAAGGAGCACAGCCAGACCCTGTGATAGATAGTTGGGTCTCAGGACTAGAGCAAGGGCTGAGTCCATCTGTTCCCTTACTAAGGTGCTGTTATTCCCTTCCATGGCAGGATCTCCAGGATGAGAGAGAATCCCTGTCCAGAGAGAAGGACCTGAACACTGGTCCCTCAATCCTGGGAGAGGATGCAAGCTAAACTTCCTTCTTCTCCTTTCTCTGTCAGGTTTCCTCACCCTGGTGATAGCATATAGACCTCTGGCTGTGATTGTCCCAGTCCCCATGTCACTGAACTTGTTCTAGATTCTTCCCACCTATCTCCTGAGTCCACTCTAGTCAGGCAGGCATCTGGCTCAGAGATTTGGAATCTGGGATGAGGCTGTCCTCCTAAACCTGACCCTGTCTCAGTCTATGTTTTTGGCATTCTTCCTTACTTTCTACAACCAAATCCACTTTCCTTGGGAATGCAGCCATGGACTTTAGAGGCATTTAGCAAAACCCTTTTCATCTTCATTTTCTAAGTACAAGACCCACTCTGGTCAGGTTAGCCTGGTGGGTGGCCTTCCTTCCTCTTTATCTCATCATCTGGAATCACAAGTTGCTGACTGCTCAATTTAGAGTACCTCCCATGGCTGTGTTTCCACTGCCCCACATCACCTATCATGGGTGCACCATGCCTGACTTTACCAGTGGGGTGCTGTAGGATAAACACTTGACCATAAGTGTCACACTAACCACAAGGTCAGTGGTTCAAACTCACCAGTCACTCCTTAGAAACCCTATACAGGGTCACTATGAGTGGGAAATGATTTGACGGCACCTAACAACAGCAACACATTGGAACAGGGGATCCTGTTGGCACTGTGGGTTAGACATTAGGTCATTAACCATAAGTTCAGTGGTTCGAATCCACCAGCCACTCCATGGGGAAAAAGTTGAGGCTGTCTGCTCTTTAAAGATGTACAGTCCTGGAAGCCCTACATAGGACCACTATGAGTCTGAGCCCACTGTATGACCGTGGATTTTTTTAAAGTTGCAACACCCCTAGCTTTGGCATGGGTTTCTAACCTTCCCCAGTAGCTACTGAGAGTGGATTTATCAATATTCAGGACTTGCTGAGACCTAGTTATTCCTGTAAAATGATAAGAGGCTGTACTCATCAAGTCTCATGTGGTGGTGGTGGTGGTCACATACCACGGAGTTGGTTTGGATTCATAGCGGCCCTGTATAGGGTTTCTGAGGCTATAAATCTCTACAGGAGCAGAAAGCCTCATCTTTTACCCACAGAGTGACCTTGTGGTTAGCAGCTTAGCTCATAATTCACTATGCTGCCAGAGCTCAGTGGCTGGGACAGGGGTTGGACCATGGGACCCTCCACTCCTTAGTTTTCACACCAGGCTCTTCGCTTCCCTCACAATTCTGTCTGCTGTACCTGCCATTATAAAGCACTCAGCCTTGGACGACAGGAACAACCAACCAGGTGAGAGTCAAGCAAAGGATCCAAGAGCCCCATGTCATGGTTGTGGCCTCGTCTTGGGCTGATACTAGGGCTATGGATGGTGGTGCTGAAAAAGAACCAGAAGAATGAAAGCTCTTGTACAGACCCCAAACCTGGGGAGATACTTTCCTCAGATCCTGCCAATACAAGTAATCCAAGAACATACATATTTGCTAACCCTCTCCCATGTGGCCTCTGCTGTTAGAGGTCCTGGGTGGATGTGTGATGGATCTCTCTTCAAGAAATTCATGCACTCAATGTGGAAAGCAAAAGCTCACAAGTCAACAACTCAGTTTCACTGTGGCTGCAGATGAGGTGCTGAATGAGGACAGTGTGGAAGGCTTCACAGAAGCCAACATTTGAGGAGGATATGAAGGGTTTCCAGAGATTGACCAAGGTCAGTGAAAAAGGAAAGTAATTCCAGAGAAGGAAAAAATAAGAAGAACATTTCTGGAAGAATCACGAGACCCAAAGGTTTGGGGCCAGAAAGAAATCCAAGGTGCATAACCCACAGGTGTGTGCAGTGAGGAGGAGGAGCTGTCAATAGGCAATAAGGGAAAGGGGAGATGGGGTAGAAATATCTACATCCATTATTCTTTCCTTAAGAACTCTGTGAATCTATCTCTTTCTCCAGCGTACACACACACACACACAGAGATGTGCAGCCTCACTGAAAAGGAACCTACCACGTTGTTCTCTCTTTAGTTACCTGCTGGCACCAGCATCTTCTCCCAGTGCCCCCAGAACTTCTTAAGCCAGTGATTGCAGTCTCCCTCTGAGGTTCTCCTGAAGAACTTGGTCACGTCCGTGTCCTTCTCCCACTCCTCTCTCATCTGTCTGCCTCCAGGATGAACCTCTGTCCACTTCATATTCTCTGAGTCATAGAGGAGGAACATCTGTCTGCCAAAGCCAAATTGCCAGGATGCTCCAGTGCGCCTGCCTGCTTCCTGCTGACAACACATCTTGGCCTGCAGGGGGAGAGGAGCTGCCCCCCATGGAGAGAGATCA